TCTGCAAATAACTACAGATTACTATAGAGCCCTCTCCTTCTCTCTCTCTCTCTCTCTCTCTCTCTCTCTCTCTCTCTCCTTTTCCTGCTTCCAAACGCCTTCTTCTTGGAGGCTGAAGCTGGGCAGGTCGCCAAAGGCTCGGCAGCCACAACAATCCCGCAGTTCAAAGTTAAGCAGCAGTTGCACAACTTCCAGCAACTCTCTCAGCCGGCTGCTAATGAGCTGAAAGCCAGAGAGATCTGAGGAGGCCAAGAGCAGCTTCCAGCCCTCCTCCTTTCAGCTCTGAGATCCAGAGCCCCAGCCCCAGGGCCAGATCACTCGGAGGCACTGGCCTTGAAACTTGCTTGCCAGAGAGACCATGGCTCCTTTTGGAAGAAACTTGTTAAAGACTCGGCATAAAAACAGGTAAAGCCAAGTAAGTGTGTGGGGGGCAGTGGGTGACTCTGTTGGGACGCAGGACCTTACACAGGAAAGCACTATGTGGCTGCTTTGAGGAAGACTGCTTCTGAGGCAGTGTAAAGCCCAGGGGAATTAACTTCGGTCAGGTCTCCTCCTCGGGACATTCAGCTGATGAGGGTACTGCTGCACTTTTGAAGAGAGCAGTGGCTAGCCCAAGGATAGCAAAAAGTAATGAATGATTTGTCTTTTCTTTCTTTTCTTGTGGGGACCACTTAATTTCACAACTAACACCAACTGTTTCACTTTTTGCTACCGGGAACATTTGAGGGTAATAGAATGGCCTTTGGTTCCCACAGAGCTCTACGATATTATAGACAGTTCAAGTGTTTGGCGAAGGTGTAAGGGGTCGTACAGCCAGCCACACAACAGAATGCATCACAGCTGCTGAGACAGTCCGGAAACAGGGCTCTGGGTCCCCTGACAGCTCAGTGTTTCTGAAAACTGGAAAGTCCCCAAGGGAAAACATTTTGTGGAGAAGCTCTGATCTCATTCTTCCAAAGATCTTTAAGAACTTCAGCTGGTTTTAGACACTGAAAAAAACATTTAAGTAGCTGTCCTTATTACTTTGATTTTATTTGCTGCCTCAAGCCTGTGATGTCTCTAGTATGAATATGTGTACGTTAAATGAATACACACATATACACATACACACACGCACACACACACACACACACACACACAGATATTCCCCCATCCCCCGTCAGCCTATGTATTTCTGTCTTATTAATATTTTATTTCCATCTTAAATGTTACACTTTTATGGCAAAATAGTGAAGATAATTTTAGAGAGAGGCTCTTCTTTAATGGGTACGTTTTAGCATAGGGGCTTCTGCGCCGCGCTTTGCTTAGGCTAGCCTGCTCGTACTTGTTGTGCTTTGCATAGTGTTAATTGAAAAGGATACAATTACATGGTAGGAAATGATATAATTATTTTAAAAGTGTCTACATGACAATATAGTGGTACAACTTTAAAATCAAATGTCTATGTACTATTTTAATACAAATGTCTACTGCAAAATTTGTTTTTCAACTTATTGTGAATATGTCAATGATTTAGTTGAGTAAATTTCCTTAAAAAATTGCAACAGCCAAAATATATATTATAAAACCTAAGTCAGTTTTATCTGCTAATAACTTCGTATCATAATAATGTATGTGTGAAGTGTTTTATTATATGTAGTATAAAAAAGTAGTTTCAATATTTAAAATTGGTAGCAATAAGCAAAAAATTTGCTTGTTCTTTAATGGCAGCAGTTTATTGAATTATGTTCTAGATAAGACATCTTTTCCAAAATTATTTTTGTAAGTGAATTTCCTGTAGAACTCTTAATGTGTTATGTGCTTTTATTTATTTAAAGTGCCATCAAAATGTGTAAAAAATACTTCTAAAGGTTTTGTAAGATAAATTGTGTTTCTAGCAAGATGTGTATTAAGTTTTTCTTGGCTTTGAAGTTTTTAAAGCAATTACAGACCCTTGTCACTGGTATGCCCAATGGCAGTGCAATAAAACTGCACATCATGTAGCCCTGTGATTTTCTCTTAGAAAATGTACATCTTTCAAATTGCATTCTATCAGTTTTGGCACTGTGTCCTATATTCTACCCACACAACTAGCTGTGTCATTCAAGAAAGTGAGTACACAGGTATTGTGCTGTGGCCTTCTCTATGCAGACTTAGGTAACAAAGGTAAATTTAATAGTGATCCAAGTGCTATAAGGGAAGGTGCTTCATTAGGAATGTGTGTGTGCTGGCGAAGATGCTCATAATACAAGAGCACTGCTTTAGTTATTGATTGCATCTCTTTACAGACTTGTATTTTTCTCACTCATATGAATTCAAAAGGTCAGGAACATAGTCATATGAGTATCTAAAATTAGGCAAAAATGGATTAATCAAATAATTTATTTTTTTTGGCATTTTTCCCTGCTATATGAGCAGTCTTGTCTATTCGCCATTCAAAGGTAAAACGACATGTACAGATCTAATAATATAATAATAATTATATTATTCAGCTTATACATTTTGTGTGTCTAGTTCCATAATGATTCTAATAACCTCACTTCCATAAACAGAAAACAAATTTTTAAATGAGTGATTTATTCTTTTATAGATAATGTGATTGTTAATAAGATAGTTATCTCATAAGTGAAAGAACTGACTTAAAACTACAAAAGTATGTACAATAGGAAACTTTCCTTCCCATTGTTTCTTAATTTTGCATATAAAATGACATATATATCACATTTTATATGAATGTAGTTATAGAACACAAAGGAAAAGTTTGACTGTTACATTGTTTAGCCATATATATATATATATATATATATATATATATATCTTAATGAAGAGAAGAACTACTTGATCATAAATACAGCTTTAACTGTGGGGGGAAGATGTACATTTTTTGAAGGTGCATTAAAGATCTGAGACAGTAAAATTTGGAGAAATTTTGTTTCCTGAACTTTTCTGTATGTGTTTTCATTATTGTTTATTCCTATTAAGTCACCAAGACTGCACCCTACGATATGGTTTAGTGATTGTTCTCATGGTAAATGGGTACTTGAGAGTTGCACAGACACAAGATGCAGACAAAAGTTCAGAGATAAGGCATAAAAACTTTTAGAAAATGTAAATTACAGAGCTTGAAGGTGGGGCTGCCTCTGTCTAGACGCTGTGGTGCTTTCGTGCCGAGGACAGCACCTTGCATGTTGTGGGCTGTAGAGCAGCAGTTTATTTAGTTCTGTAAACTAAAATTATGACTTGCATTTGAACTGGAGACATGGCAATTATTTTATTCCCTATGCATCATGCAATGCAAACTGTTTATTACATAAAACTGAATATTTTATAGAAGACTGATATCATCTAAAATGTGAGGACCTCTCAAAGAACTACATGGGTTTAGAAATGAAAACAATCCTATTTTGCTAGACAATTCGTTATAAATTTTAGGAAAGGTTTAAGAACGAAGGAAATAATCTTTAGGAAGTGAAAATATAAAATCTAAATTTTATTATATTTGAATATACAAACTTTTTAAGCCTTTCATTTACAACTTTTATGTAAGCAAAATCCGTGGAGTCAGTCTGAATTCATTTGTAGTTATGATCAGGGATAATTTATTAATATTTTCTAATTGTTTTAAATGTTTTACTTAAAGAATATAATTTTAAGACAGTCTCTTGGATTGTTTATTTTTAGAAAGTCTTGTGATACAAACCTGAAGACTAGTGAATATCTTGCCAATCAGATTTTTGTTCAACATAAAAAAAAATAAAATTGGGACAAGTGTAGATATTGTTCAACATATTGCTCAAGTTTCTGAAAACATTTTCTGACCATCACTTGACAGCCAATTTTTCTGACATAAAACCTAGAGGGATAAAAAGTGATGCAATGATCTATTTGTATTCATGAGAATAGTCAGTAATTCAATTTAGTTTATTAGATATTGTAGGTATTTACGCAAACTTTATCTGTAAATGCCTTTATATTTGCAATGGATTATATTTTTCACTGTAACAACTGATTTCAAGTTAATGCATTTAAACATCAATCAAGCACTTTTTAAAAGTTTAGAAAACTTTTAGGTGATTATCAATCTTTTAGAACATTTTGCTATGAAACGTGATTCTGTATTATGGTTTTTCTTTTTCTTTCTTTTATTTTTTTTTCAGTGCTAGAGTTCAAATTCAGGACCTTGGCCATGTAGGCACTTTTGCCACTTAGCTCCCAGACCTGATTCCTTAGTTTCTTTCTTTTCTTTTTCTTTTTTTTTTTTTTTTCAGAACCAGGAATTGAACTCAGGCCCTTGCGCTTGCCAGGGAAGTGCTTATTCCATTGAGCCATCTGCCCAGCCCCTCCTTAGTTTCCTTCTTTTCTTTTTTTTTTTTTTTTCATAATTTTATTGAGAAACAAATAGCAATGAGACAGTTTCAAATCAAATTGGTAGGACAGTTTCAATAAATAACACATTACATACATTCTTCCTAGTGGTTAATTGCTGTACAAGATGCGGACATGATATCCTATTTACAAACACCATTAGAACAAATCCCTGTATTCATTAAGAGAATGTAACTATATATCTATCCTAACCACTTAGTTTCTTAATTAATAACATTTAGTGGCAGAGAAATGTTTCAAACTTCTGGCAAATTATGCCAACAACAGGAAATTACCATAATGAAACATTAACCTACATACTTGTAAGATATATGAAATTAGAAGAGCTCATGTAGGGAATTGTAAGATAGTGAACACTGATTATTAGAAGATTTAATCTTCTTAAGACCTGCATAACTATTTCAAGCATTATTTCCACTGCTCTTGAAATTTGTGTCATCTTATTTTTTCCCTAAACATATGGGTATGTCTCCTATGATGGCAGGTACTTTCATAATATCAACCTTAAATTCAAAGCCCTTAAAATGTTTTGTAGTGAGTAAACTTGAAGTACCATAGATATATTGCTCTATAATTGAGGCATAAATTTTGCACTAGAATTTGCTTTTGATTTACTTAGAACTTATTTAGTCTTTTTTAAAAAACTACATCAGGTATGTTATAGTACCACCAGAAATGTTATGCAATGACTGCTTCCTCAGAAAGAACAATTAAGTTTTGCAGTGAGAGTAAAAGCTTTTGGCAAGAGGATGTCTTCTCTTTGCAATTAGAAGTATGGTAATTTATGCATTGTGCAAAATTCAAAATTACATTTCATATATATCTTGTGTGTTCTTCAAATAAAGATTTAAAGTGTTCCTAATAATGGATGAGAGCTACCAGGCATTTGAGTATATAAATCTTCATAGTACTCTGGAGCTCCTGAAGAGATTTCCCCTGAAGATATCAAATAACTTAAGTAGCTATTAGATGGGAGTAGACAGTCCATTAAGCATGATGACTGGAATCTTTTATCCCTAGCAAAAATATCCTAAGATTAT